TAGAAAGAAAGCTGGACTAAGACCATGTCTGAATTATATTGACAGATAAAGAATGAAATGGTTCGGCTATCAAGTGAGAATGCAACCTGACCAAACTGTATATGAAATTTTTTTTTTAACAGCAAAATGTCAGGTTGGGGTGGCAAGTTGAAGACCTAGAAAGAGATGGATAAATGGTGCAGTGGAAACCTGCAAAAAGATAAACAAATCCATCACCCAAACCACTGGAAAAGCGCATGACAGATATAGAAAACCATGACACTGAGACATTACCTGGTAACCAAAAAACAACAAAAGAAGAACCAATTCACTTTGTGAGTTGAATTTTTTTTTTTAATATAACTTTTTTTCCCAATCTATTCATGACATTCTCCCATAAATCTTCTATCTTATTAAGGTGACCTCAACATTCTGTCCTGCAATCAGAGCAGTTCATCAATGACACAGTCAATGCAGTTTAGGCCACACACATACTTTCTGTAACATACACTATCAGATAAGAGGATTCAGTTCAGAAGAAATTAGGTCATGCGTTATCACTGTGACCGCCTGACTATGTCTGTGCAAGTACACATGAACCCAGCAATAAAGACTGCTTTCAAACAACAACAAAAATCATATGAATCACATTACGAGGTAGAACTTATCACTGCTGAAACAGGATACGTGACAAGTGGGCCCATATATGATGCAATCATCTATATGGCAACTGAATTCATATATTTGTGCACATTAAAAAATATTTAACACTTCAAGTGCATTATTTATTTTTGTATTTAATTTATTTATAACAACTAACAACTATTGCTCTTTACATCATCAAGTTCCTTGACTGGCATGGGTGATCATGCTTCTCCACATCTTGAAATCACTAACAGCATGTATAAATCCTTTCCACGGCACAATAGAAGAATGTCAATAATCTATCATTGTCTTCCTGTATCTCTTTCCAAAAATATTTGTATCTATCACAAGTTTCAGTTATTTCTGTCTCATAAAGTTGAGGATTGATTTCACGGCACTAAGTTTTACCCCTATGGCTTAGTCTCTCTCTACACAGCAGCTGGCAGCCTACAATGAGATTGCACAAAGCACTACACTTTTAAACTTTAGCAATGATCGCCAAGGATCTCCAAAATATCTACACTTGAAAACTGAAGTACAGAATCCAAAACAGAACCTATGACCATCATAGCACTGGGTAAAGGGCTCAACAGATCCCTGCGGAGACCCACTCTCAGCTCATCGTGTGGCCAAAACATGATGATCGTCCCTGTAAGTTACTAAGTGTCTTCATGGCTTACCTTTCCCCAAAACATAACAAGCTTGCTTGCTTTTTGATGAAAGAAATATTCTGGTCATGTTTAACCAGATTCTTTCTAAAAAGCAGTTTTGGGTTATAATTGTGACTGTTTCTTGCACCACATTTGATGGTTAAAATTGGGTTTTTGTGCCATGTTCAATGCTTTAGTGTCTGTTTGTTGTGGTGTCCCTTCTAGCGTGTCTGGGTCTGGTATGTTGGTCCTGCAGTGGATCCTCTGTAGTATTCCTTTATAGCATTATTCGGTCTCGGTTATATTCCTCTTCTACTTCTTTTTTTTCTCTGGATGTAAGCTCCAGCAGAAAGTCCTGGCTGTTCGTCCATTTGGGCTTTGGCTCTGTGCCAGGGCCAACATTTTTGCGTGTGCATTTGTTTTATTTGGTTAGCTGTGTACAGCTGGTTGTTTCTTGCCACTTGGGCAGATACACTCCGACTTCGAAGGAAGTCCCCAATTAGTTTACTACAACATGCTTGTTGTTCTTGTTTTTCCCACAATGGGGCCCCGGAACCCACACCAGGAGGTTACAGTCCAAGTCCAAGTGTAATGTCCTGCTCAGTGCACATTCTCCGTCATCCGTATCCTGTAATTTAGTCCTAAGCATGGTCAGTCCTGGAAGTGACCTCTAACATTTCAGAAAAATCCCTTGACTTATACAGCACCTATGGAGGTACCTTGTAGGTACAAGCAGAGGTACTTTGGTGTGGCTGCCGAAGTGACGTCAACATTGATAACATAACAAATGGAATGTCAACAGTACAGGGAGTTGAGTTAAAGGCAGATAAAAACCTAATGGACTTGAGCAAACAACATTCTATAAACAATGGTGTGAATGTCTGAATAATGATAATGTCTAAATAAGAACATCACTGACAATTAATAGCTCTACTCCCATGTTCACATTAGAAATGGATGGACGGTGGTGCAGTATTAGATATGAATTAATAAAGAAACTGGATCACTATACTCAGCATATTCCCCCATATTTTCAATCTTCTTTCCAGCAGCCAGCGAACAGCTAATAGGTTCTTGCATGATACAACTTAGGAAATTTAAATATCTAGGAGGTGTGATCATGGAAGATTGCAGAATTGACAGAGAAATAGAAACCAGATGTCAGAAAGCAAGTGCACTTAAAAAGGAATTGACACCAATTATTAAGACATCGAAGCATAACTATCAGTGAAAAAAAAAAAAGCAGATTCATACCAACACTGCGCTACCAGTGCCAGATGTATACATTATCTAAAGCTCATATATACAAAATCACTTCTAGCAAGATGAGATGCCTGAGAAAAGCCGCCAACCTTACCATCCAAGTTGGAGTGAAAAATGATAGTATCAGCTGGATTGTGACAATCCGTGTAGGTGCTGGGGCCCCACTGGGAAAGGAACAAGAATAGACTCACTGCCTCCCTAACAAGCATGTTGCGAGAGTCGACTCATTTAGAGCTTCCTCTGAAGCCGGACTGCATTCGCTGGGGAGGCAAGGAATCAGCAGTATGCATACAAATAAGCCAAATCTGGGATATGGATGTCTACACAACACTCAGGTTCTGGAACGAGACTAAAGTCCAGAGGTAGACAAATGACCAGAACTTTCTGCCGGAGTTTACAGATGGTGAAGGTGAAGTAGAAATAAAGGATTGTGGGAACAACATCTTGTACCAAATTCATAGAGACACAGTAGATCAAGTGGTCTGGCCATCTGGTTAGAATGCAGCAGCATCAAATACCACTGCAGACATTACATTTCAGAAGATTAGCTATAAGAGCAAAAGGACGACAATGAAAAATATGGACCAACAACATTAAAGATACTTTACAACTTCATGGCACTAGATCACAAATTATTCTTTCCCATGATGCTTAATGGCAGAAGTGTCAGTTACACAAAAAAAATATGAAGAGCTGTACTGCCCTCAAATGATCACAATCCTAATATTACACATTTAGCTCTTGAATTTATAAAATGTATTAAATGTGTCTAATGCTAAATGCATCAAATAAATATGGACAATGATGTATTTACACTTATCCTGAGCAATTTTGAACATCACAACAGATTTATTAACAAACCAAACAGGGAATAAAATTTACAATGCCATCAGTAAGCATCAAGAAAATCGTACGCACTTATTAGAACATGTGTTACATTAATTAAAATGTGCTAAACTTTTAGGAAAAAATCTGAAACCCAAAAGGCAGAAAAGTATTAAACTGACTATGGCTTGAATTAGGCTAGACAACAGTGTAACTAACAAGTTCACACACCTTCATAATGGTAAAAACAATACAGGAAAATGCATACAACTTTTTCCAGCATCCTCCAACAAAACTTAAAAATTAACTGAGATTATAAATGGGATAACTTGTAGAACTAGTATGTCAGTAAAGAACAACATACATGTCTACCTTATTAACAAACTTTATGTTAATATCTGTGTTCCTCTGTTATGAATCTGAGGCCCCATTTGCGGGGGGGGGGGGGGGGGGGGGGGGGGAGAACTAAACCTCCTGCCCTTTAAAAATCTTGTTGTAACAGACAACTAATTAAGGGTTTTTAAATGCGACTGTGTTAGGCTGATTAATGCAGATATTACACCCTAGCTGTATACCACAACACACAAATGTTCTGTTAAGGGTAAATACAGAAGAAGAAGAAGAAGAAGAAGCAGAAGCTTGCTTCAGTGGAAACAAGGCTTGTTGCTTAACACTTTTCTCACTCAATGTTTTTGTATTGCTGTTGTTAGGTGGGGGGGGGGGGGGTTTAATAAAGAATGAATGCTGATTTTCATTTACACACTCCTGTGTGGGTTGCAGGGTCCCATGTTGGGGGAGGGAAGAGCAGATGGGCGGGGAATATACCCGCTGCTTCTCAATAACCATGTCATTAAATGTGAGTAACTAGGGACTTTCTGAAATCAAATCTGTTGGACCAAAAGGTACAGATATACCAGCCTAGCTGTAAACCACAAAACAATGAGTCAGCCGCCCTGTTAAGAGCAAAGCAGAAGAAGAATTTACACAGCATCTGGTAGGTAAATAATATTACCAGTTAAACTCATTTGATAATTAACTATGATAAACCAGAAGGATTGTAAAACTGTAAAAAATGCAAGAATTCTATTACATCATTTTGATTTGCAAAGCTTGATAAAAATAATGAATAAGAAAATGGCAGAAATGAGTGAACTCTATGATTCTAAAATGTTTAATTTGAATGTCTTCCTTTTGAAGGGCGAAAGATGTTTGCTTAAGGTTTAACAAAATATGCATTTTCTGAAACTGATATATAAATATAAATATTATTTCCACTTTCAAAAATACACAACCCATAGATTCAGACTTTCAAAGAGTAAATCTTCCCCAAGTGAGTTCCAAAGGCCCACTGTGGAAGCAGGAGTACAGAATGTAACTACTGACCCTTAACAAGCATCTAGCAAATGGCCACTAAGTGTTTGCTGAAATCAAATGTCTTGGGATAAAAGGTGCAGATATCACACCTCAACTGTAACCATACCACTGTGTCAAATGTCCTTTTGAGGGTGAATGCAAAAGAAGAAACTACATCATTCAGACTGCATAAATACTTCCTACTGAACCATCCCAACCAATAAATAAACATGAAAATACTAATTTAACACAAAAGCTTTCAGGAATACTACACTACTGTGGTGATTATTGCGCACCAACTAATTTCTTCAGATGTGGTGTGTCAAATGACTTGGGCCGCTCAATCGGTAATCCCAAAGCACGGTCCCATATCAGAGATGCTAATACACCCAGTGCCCGAGATACTCCAAACATCACGGTGTAATAGTTCATTTCCTTAAGTCCATAATACTGAGGATAGAGGAAATGAACACATTTATGGCACCCTAAAAGTGTATGTGGTGTTAGAATACTGAACATGACAAGACAATGCCTCTTCTTTTGCAATGAATACTTATATTAGCATTATTACACTATATATGCTGAGCTAAAGTATAGCTTAGTAATATAGCAAAAATGAAATGCAATAGAAAGATTCTTAGAATACCATCGACCAAGAAGATAAGAAATACAGACAATCTAACATGTTTGGATATCAAGTAAAATCGGCTACCTGGCTAATAAACAGCATCATGTCTTGGAAACTGAAACATTTTGGCCCTATCAAGCACCATAGCAACTGCAAAAAGTGGTAAAAGGCACAGTACCGGCAAAGAGGGGCAGCGACCAAGCAGCATGAAGATAGGCATAGGATATAAGAGATACCTTAGGTAGGAAAGTGCATGTGGTGGGAATGATAGTGAGAGACCAAGTTTCTCTCAGGCAGGCCGTGAAGAAAGTGACATTCTGCAAAGGATCTGTTACATGATGATGACAGGTATACAGCAAATTATGACACATGAACCTGGCCGATGGTCCAAAAAACAGAACAGGTATCTGGCTGATCTAAAAGAGTGTCTGAATATGACTAAACATGACCCCAAGGCAGTTTGTTATATCCAGTATGACTTTCTCTCTCTATTGTGAGTGGCCAGTCATCTTATCCAGTATGACTTTCTCTCTCTATTGTGAGTGGCCAGTCATCTTCATCAAGCACTTACAGCTCCTCCAATAAACAGAAGCGAGGATTTTTTTTAAAAATGACTTGGTTGGAATATACTTTGAAATTGAATATTTCTTTTTGGAATGTCCTTTTGAAATGGATTATTTCTTTTTGGAATATCCTTTTGAAATGAATTATTTCTCATTGGAATATCCTCTGAAATGGATTATTTAAACTGATCTGTGCTCCTAGGCCAGCCCAGTCTAAAATGGGCACCTGGGAATTTTACAGACAATCAAATCAAAGTGGCCAGTGTGATATTAATCATATCCCCCCCCCCCCCCCCCAAGTGTCACTTTGTCTAAAAATAAGGCACTAGCACCACATGGTGAGCAAAAGGGAAAATTAATTTACTTCCCCCTGCATCAATTTGAAGAGCTACTTCTGAATGGCTAGCCTCCTCTAGTTTTTGCTTGTCTTCTGGCATTCTACAAGAAACATTTATATCTCTTATTGCTGTTTCCCATATGTTCAGCCTGGATGACTTTACCGGTAGCTAGACTACCACTGGCATAGTTCTTAGGGTTAAAGGAAAACAAAGTATACCATGATGAATGTGGATATGGAATAGGTGAAATAAAATACATCATTACTGTCTTCCGTGAGATTTAAAAGTATACCAGGCCACTAAGTTAACAAGACCAGGATCAGGGCTTACAGTGGCCCTGATCTTTTGGCACCTCACAATGGTGTGTTGTCCATACACCAACTGGTTTTTTTTTTTTAGCCTAACCATCATCTCAGGGATCATCATAGTTTTCTCAAAGTTGAAGTAAAAGTACAGGACCCGTTTTGTTTTCAAATTCGGCATTTAGTGCAAGGTTTATATTTTTATAGACCAATCAGAACACAAAGTGTAATGTGGTCAACATCACACCGGCTGTCTTTACTTCCCAGGACATTTCTGGTACCCACTGTAGGGTGGGTCGACCTGGGAGTCAATGTTAATTTTGAAAAAAAAAAAAAAAAATCTCAGTGGATATTTGAACCTTAGACCTTTGGCTAGGCAGGTGAGCGACTAGCCACTTATCCACAGCTCCTTTGTTTCTTTCTATAAATGTGAAATTCATTAAAAGATACTGCACACACTTCTGGTTTCTGGACTTGAAGATAAGAAAAGAAAGCTTTGCAACATAGTACCTTTAGAGGTTGGTTTGAACTGGAAAAAAAAAAATCTGCATGAGCTTCACCTTAACAGATGTACATCTTTGCACAGCTCAGAAGACATGACTACTGTCATCATATCACAGTCAAGACTGTGAGCTCTTCCTGTGATCTGTTATCCAACTAAAACAATTTAAAGACTAAAACATACCTGTAACAAGACCCCACTGTGAGCTCTTCCTGTGATCTTTTATCCAACTAAAACAATTTAAAGACTAAAACATACCTGTAACAAGACCCCACTGTGAGCTCTTCCTGTAATCTTTTATCCAACCAAAACAATTTAAAGACTAAAACATACCTGTAACAAGACCCCACTGTGAACTCTTCCTGTGATCTTTTATCCAACTAAAACAATTCAAAGACTAAAACATACCTGTAACAAGACCCCACTGTGAGCTCTTCCTGTAATCTTTTATCCAACTAAAACAATTTAAAGACTAAAACATACCTGTAACAAGACCCCACTGTGAGCATCCACATTGGGCCATGGATTTTTGGCCTTGCCCTGTTCAATGAGAATATCTGGAACAACTTTGTAAATCTGAGAGACCAACTTGAAGAGAGGGTCATTTGGCAGGTGCTTCAGAGCAAATTCTCGCTGACACATATAGCGAGGATCTGTTTTTCTAAGGACTGCATGCCCATAGCCTGGAACAACCTATATAAAAAGTAAAATATTTTGTTTGTGAGCAATGCAACTAGAATACAATACCTCAATGATAACCGTAAAACTAACAGAAAGTTACCAGTTTTGCAAGATTCTACAAATAGTAAGTGAGAGAAAATTTTCATGCAAACAGCACATCAGCATACGGGGCTGGCTTTATAGTTTTATAGCTGACATTCGACTGTAATGTGGTCAACATCATGCTGGTCACGTTTACTTTCGAGGATATTTCCAAGTACCTATTTCAGCTGAAATAGAAGTCCTAAGTTAATTATAAAAATCAACTTCATTGTTGCTTCGAAAATAAATCCTTTGGGCTGCCAGTCAGGCCACTGTGCTTTCTCGACTCAATTCTAAAATAAATGCAGTTAAAATCTGCATAATGATCCTGAGAGCTATCAGCATGTCCTCTTAAAGTCTGACAAGCTAAATAAAGGGTGGAGAACAAGAAGGAGAGAGACACAGTGGTCTTCCAGGCTAGGGGTTAAAAATTGGGGCGGTCACTCCCACTTCTGTAAAACTTTATTTCATCATAAAGCAGACATCTAAGTTCATGGGGGTAAAAAGAACAGATCCACTGCAGTCTAACAAGCAGAGGTAAGAGGTGACCAACTAGGGATGTTTCCTTTGAAGTTAGAGTGCATCTGCCTCAGAGATAAGGAACCAACAGTCTGCATATAATTAAGCCAGATCTGTAAAACAAATGTACATACAAAATGCAAGTTCTGAAACAAGACCAAAGTGCAGAAGTGGACGAAAAACCATAGCTTTATGCCGGAGTTTACAGTCAAGAGTGCTAAGAAGAATCTAGATTGATTTAAATAGACAAAACCTGTGCACACAAAAGAGCTAAATGGGAGTAGACCAGGAGGCAGACCAATAAAACACTAGAGATAATAACATGGACAGACCTAAAAATACCTGAAGACCCCAACAGGAAAGAGAAGGCCACTCACAGAGATTAATGGACAAGGGGGATATCTGCAGCAAATGAACCTCAAAGGCCCACAATGCTGAAGAGGGAAATGGAAGAAATGAATGATTAACTTTTATCAAAGATAAAAACATGCATACAGCAGCAAGTTCAAAGTGCATACCTGTCCAGATTTGAGTGTGTTCCAAATGAAATCCCTTAGTTGTTGATCTGATACTTCCCCTCCCAGAGACTGCTGCAGCTTGGTTGTCCATACCAGCACTTCCTAAGAAACACAAACATAAGCATGAGGATAGTCAACAACCAGATCTAAACTTTAATGCAAATTTTATATTAAACATTACTGAATAACAAAACAAAATAGATCAATCAAGACTGAATGAAAACTGTTAAACAGAAGTCAGAAAGAAAAGCTTGTCGAAGAAATGCAGATTAAAAAATATTAGAATCCTATGATATAAAACTAGCAAAACAAAGTAAATATTCTGAGATATGCATATTCTCTACACAAATAGTCATAAGCCATTTTACAATCACTAAAGAAGAAAGTCAGAGCCTTTGATCTTACTGGAAAATGTGTGGACCATCAAAGTTAAAAAAGAAAAAAAAAAGAAATATGACATTCTACAAAATCTAAACATTGCCAAAAATAAATAATTAAAATTAAAAAAAAAAAGCACTGAAAAATTTGTGGATTATCAAAGATGAAGGGAAAAAAAATGACATTCTACAAAATCTAAACATTAACAAATATAAATTTTTTTTTTTTAAAAACCCTGGCTATTAAACAGCATGTCCTGGAAACTTTGACCATATTGTAAATCACAGGCCAAATTATATATTGCAGTGGTTTAGACAGAACAATAATGGAAGACATCCCTCCTGGTAGTTTACACAGGGGTCAATCACTTTGAAGGTGGAAACAAGACATTAGAAACACTTTGATCATGTAAATAAATGAAACAGGTAAACCGCAAAGGAACAAAGACTCTTTTCAATAGGCAACAATGACAGCAGCAATCTGCTAAAAACCTGCTTTATTTTATGGAGACGTGTAAATTGATTTTGATCAAAGAATCACTTTTTTTTTAAAAACATGTTAGTGTTGAATGAACCACATGTAAGAAAATGTATGCATTTAAAATACAGCTGTGTTTACTATGTTTTCCAGAGACCTCTACACTGAAGGTAAGCTTCTTTTTATACAAACATTTGCCTACTTATCTGTAATTAGCAGACTACATACATGACATCTATCTTCCACAATAAAATGACACTAAATTCTTACACCAACTTGAACCAATGGGTCAAGAAATACCTGTACTGCCTATTTAATTAAAATTATTCTTCCCCTTACCTTGTATTAATCAACTCCCCAATCCCTGTGTAAGTTCCGTATACAAATGAGGATGAGCACTGGGGGAGAGGGGGCAGGCAGACCAACCGCCCCTCAACAAGCAGATGTAAAGGCGACTAAATAAATGTTCAGCTGAAATTGGATGCATTTCGCTTAAGGCAAAAGATATTGCAGCCTTGCTGTAAATCACAACACAACGTGCCAGCCCTGCCTGTAAAATGCAAATGCAGATGAAGACATTAACTGTGACTGTTCCCAAACTGTCACATCTAATTTCTACCAGTTCTGACTTCTATAAAGTTCATTGCAGTTTCCAGTAAAATCAAGTTTCTACTAAAGGTGTGCCACACAACTAATTTCTTGAATAGTTAATTCCATACAACATGTAGACACTGGTTACCTGATTGGCTAAGCCATGTAATGGGCCAGCAAGACCATTCAAAGCAGCAGCAAATGAGAGATATGGATCGGATAGTGCACTGCCAACCAGGTGACAAGTATGAGCACTGACATTTCCACCTTCATGATCACTTTATATGTGAAGGCAAAGAAAATAGTCAATCTTTAAGATAATGCCAACTAGTATTTAGTAATTGTCAAAGATCCTAAGATAATTACAATATCACCACTATGCTCATTCATAATGTCCACACACGCCCAGATTCCATGCTGGTGAGGAAATGATATAAAACACGTTAGATATGAGAACATCAAAAGCGGACTGAAAAGAAGAAAAAAATGTGGCTCTAACTCACTTATTCCATAGTAATACATGATGTGTGACTGACTCTACTCTTTGTGTCCCAAACATTGCACAATATGTCGTTTTGTATTAAGTTAAGGATACTAAAGAAATACAATACAGTATTTCACTTTTGCAGACTTCTAAAGAATAAAAACATGAATATCTGTGCATAAAACCACTTGAGAATGAAGGAATAAAATTACATAAGGGAACAGTACATTATCAGGTCTTTTACAGAATACTGATCTCATCACAGCCCACCTGGGACAAAAACTCAGCCTTTCCCCAGCTCTCCTGCCTTGTCCACCTTCCCACCCAAGGTGTCTCCCATATCCTGTGGAAGTCAGCTCCTCCTCATATTTCCCAGTTCCATACCCTCTACTCTGTTCTTTCCAAACTTGATATGGCCACAATATTAAAGTCTCCCAGACAAGATCTTCCTTGATGTTAAGATTTTTTTAGGGGGTGAATTTTCTTTTTCTTCTTGATTCATGGTATTCTGAGAGTCTTTCTATAGCATTTCAGACAGATAAACAAAATTCAATGAAAAATGAAAAAAAGAAATACGTGTGTGAGTTCAGAATTGAATATCTGTCAACCATATACTTACGTGTGGATTGTGAGATAAAGGCGCATCAGTTCCACAAAATCAGGATTATCAAATCCCAGCATAGTAGTATAGTTCCAACTCCAATCTTTTTTCTTGTCAATGGGCTCAGGAGGGCTGCCTCCCTTGTACAAGTTTCGATAAATAATCGCTGCCACTGTGGGAAGCTTTGCAATCAGATCCATTGAATCCTCATAGCACAGCTGAAGAAATAATGAAACACATCTGTGTAATGTACCTCCACTTGTTCGACAAGCCCTCATATTTAGAATGGTTATCAGAAAATAAAGTAATGAACACAGAAAACCTTAACTATTACCGGCTGGATCAACTGGACTTTCATGTTTATCAGCATCATATTTAGAATGGTTATCAGAAAATAAAATAATGAACACAGACAACCTTAACTATTACCGGCTGGATCAACTGGACTATCATGTTTATCAGCATCATATTTAGAATGGTTATCAGAAAATAAAGTAATGAACACAGACAACCTTAACTATTACCGGCTGGATCAACAGGACTATCATGTTTATCAGCATTATATTTAGAATTGTTATCAGAAAATAAAGTAATAAACACAGACAACCTTAACTATTACCGGCTGGATCAACTGGACTTTCATGTTTATCAGCATTATATTTAGAATGGTTATCAGAAAAAAAAATAATAAACACAGACAACCTTATCTATTACCGGCTGGATCAACTGGACTATCATGTTTATCAGCATCATATTTAGAATGGTTATCAGAAAATAAAGTAATGAACACAGACAACCTAAACTATTACCGGCTGGATCAACTGGACTATCATGTTTATCAGCATTATATTTAGAAAAAAACGTATGTGCCATCACGACTCAAATGTCGAGAACTCAACTTCATAAATACTGATGGTTGGCCAGATTGCACCAATTTTGTCTTTGGGTATTTTACTTGGTGAGGCCCCAGTTTCTTCTATGAAATGACTTGTGTACAATTGTCTGAAAACACAAGAGCATTTTTTTCAAACTATCCACCCCAGTACTCAGGGATCATGAAAATGTTAACTGCATTCGCTGACTTTCAAGTCACAGAGCCGTACAAGGAGAATGATATGCAGGTGTATAAAGCATTCACAATATGTAACCAACACAGAAAACAAAGCAGCACACATAGCAATCAAACAGGATAAAGTATAAAGCAAATATGAAATATATCAATCAGTATTAAAAATAACTTAATAACAGTCAATGAATTCATTTTTTCCCAACACAACACACTGATGGTCATCTGTAGAAACGCATTACTTCAGAAACAGAACTGCTATGTATGAAAGACCCTAGGAAATGACTTCGTATATGATTCTGACCTGGGCACAATACACAAGGAAGCTGATGTAAGCATTCCTTTTTCAAACAATTTTAAAAGATATTAATATTATTAGTTTCATGTTATTATCAATGCAAACTCCTATATGTTTTAATGTAAGTTAGTGGTGGTTGTCCTAGTCATTTTTGTTTTACCTTAGTGTTTCTTCTGAAAAATATTCTCCACTGGCTTCTCAGTTTGAAGCTCAAACAACCAAAATTCTGGATTTAAAGGCAAATAAATGATATATCAGTGTTCTCCATACCTCCCAATACTTGGATTTGTTGACTCCTTCTGAGTAAGCTTTGGCAAATTTGCTTTCCGAGTTCATAGCAGTCACAGCAGCACTGAACTGGGACATAGGATGAAGCCTGTCTGGGAAGTTGTTCAGCATGGTGATCACATGGTTTGGGATCTCTGCACGTTCATTCCACTCCTGGTTGGATGGAGCATTGCAAAGGGTTGTTACCAACACACATCCAGTCATCATCAACTAACAAACATCACCACCAATACCAATTAACTTATTCAAATAAAAATAAAAAAACATTTCTGAATTCACTGTTGTAACTACATGAACAATGTTATAATAAACATAGATCAACAGTATAACTATTAAAAATAATGAAATGACATTAAAAATAAACTAAATTAATTTTTAAAAATTGACTATATACAATTTCAACAAAATCTACAAATTAAATAGATTATGTATCTACAAATCATAATTTATAAATGACTGCTATTATAAATTCACAAAATGGTTAGAAATTTCATGAAGTGTGATTTTCACTCTCACAAAAATACATCAATGTAAAAGAAAAAAGAAACAAAATTATTATGAGAAATATCAAAGTGACATGTAAAATATTTTGGCCACAATAAAAAGACACAACAGTAATAAGAACCATTCAGGAAGGAAACGTTTAAGGCAGGGAGTAAGCAATTAGACAGTCATACAAGTGGAAAGAAAACTTCAAGAGATGGTCAAAAGCAGTCTCAGATTGTGTATAGCTAGAACTAGAGACACAATATGTTGGAGACCAACTGCAACAAATCTATTCATGGAGATGACCCTGACTGAATTTTCTCTGAGACCAAACTGCTCAAGTCAAATTTTGGGACTACATAACAATAAGCAATATAAATGTGTATGAATATAATTTACATTTTCTGTTTGCAGTTTGTTAAGCTTTAATTTGCAAACAATTTATTTCAATCTTTCTCAGTTGAAATAAACTGTTTTTTGCTTCAATTTTCTATAATCATTTAACCATAAAAATTATTATGCATTATTTTTTTTTAAATCTATAAACATGTTCCACCTTGTTATGCAAACATTATCTAGCATATTAATAATAACATTTTATCAGTTCTACTAATTTTTATAATCAACTGCTGTCACAGACCACAGTATTTTATCACACATTGAGTCTGGGTTTGCAAAGAACTCCTGATAGTGTTTATCTATTTGTCTCATTCCCTCTCTAGGTTTACTTTTCTGTACCCTCCGTTCCCTGAAGTATTTTTAACTTCCTTTTCAGAAGACTTGATCACAAATGGTTGCATTATACAGCTAGGATTTTCTTTAGGGTAAGGCAGCTTACCCCCCTGTCCGTCCTCTTCAACCATGTCCCTGGCAAATCCTGTTGTTACTACTGGTTTTCCCCTCTAGGAAACCAATAATAGACAGGTATTCATTGATTCTTTGTATAAGAATCTTCTTCTTTTTTCCCCTTCACCAGTGGAAACTTCTTGTTGTTTGTCCACTTCTGGACTTTGGTCTTGTTTTAGAACTTGAGTTTTTGTGAACTCATCCATTTTACAGATCAGACTTGTTTGAATATAAACTGTTGGCTCCTCACCTATCAGACAGATTTGCTCCAATTTCAAAGGAAACACTTCTAATTAGTTGTCTTTTACAAAATGCTTGTTGGGGGGCAGTGGGCCTGAAATCCCCCCCCCCCCCCTTACCCCAAATGGAAATAAGAACTTAGATACAGGATCTAAACCCAATACAATTTTCAACATTGCCAGCATGTCCTATGATGATAATGTATATGACAAATAAACAAAAACATTACATTTTCTTTGAAAAGTAAGTAAATTATCAGAGAGTAACAAGAATACCTTAGTAATAGCTGCAGCTTGCTCCTGGGTGGGGATATTACCGGTTACAAGCAACCAAAACAGACCTTCTGGTAGAGGCTCTTCACCACCTGGGGCTTTCGGAAGCAGCTTCTGGCATTCTGGGATACTGTAACCTCTGAACCGAATTCCTTCATCTGGGTCAAGCACTGAGGTCTCCGTTACCAACCCTCTTATACCTCTCATTCCTCCATACATCTGGTGTCAACATGGGGATGAAACAAATATATACACTAATTTTAAATGGGAAAACAAGTTATGCAGAATATACAATTTCATTATCAGGTAGCAGAACCGTTGCATCACGGCCTGCATGAAAGAAACTTGGTCTCTCGCCAGCTCTTAACTCATGCACTTTCATATCCAAGGTGCCACTTGCATCCTGTGCCCAACTTTGCATTGGTCAGCCACTGCCCCTTTTCTGGTACCATGCCTTCTGCTACTATTTCCCCCAATCTGCTGCGTTGCTTGTTTTGGCCCAAATATTTCAGCTTCCAAGAAAAGATGCTGTTTATTAGCCAATCTTTCTTGATGTTCTGATCTTTCAGATTGTCGGTATTTTTCTTCTTTTATGTCCATGGTATCCTTACAATCTTTCTATAGCATTTCAGTTCAAAAGCCCCTATTATCATCCTTAAGAAATGGAAGATAATCCACAATTCATATTCATATGTTGCTAGAGGGAAGATGCCTGCTCTCAAAATTTTAATGGTGACTTCCTTGTTGGTGCTTAGCACTAGACTTGTAATACTGTTTAATCTTTGTACTGCTTTGTATTGTTTTATTATGGAGCCTAGATATTCAAAGTATGTGACATTTTCAATTCTTTATCATTTATTCCTTTTGGGTTTTGATCTTTGCTGTGTTTTTGTACAGAAATGATTAAATGTTCTAATCTCCTCTGCACTGTTAAAAAGGAGGACTGTCATCTGCATAGTGAAGTTCAAGAATAGGGTTGCCACCAATTATATGCTGATCATAACTGTCACAGGTCTGGTCATTTCTGACATTTCTCATTATGTTTTCTGTATATATATATATATATATATATATATATATATATATATATATATATATATATATATATATATATATATATATATATATATATATATATATATATATATATATATATAATGGCTATAGTGAGAGAATGCACTCCTGCCTTTTGCACCTCTAACTAATCTGATGTTTCTCCATCTGCTCTGATAGCTACTTGTTGTTCATGATATAAACCTTCAATTAAATTTATATAATATTACGTTTCTAATCCAAAATTTGTTGTAAGAGTGACGATCACAACTTAATTCTTACCATATCAACTGTGACTTCACCAACTTTAGATTTTCCATGTGTCTTTCTAAATTCAGCAACTTCTTTCTGTTTTTCTGGGATAAGTGAGGCCAAAACATCTTTTAAATTCTGAAATATAGAAAAATGTGTTTTATTTATGGATACATTTAAATCAGTTCTCTTCCTTTCTCACACACACAATAAACTGTCTCCCTTCCTTCTTCTCTTTCTCACATACACAGAATGTATATGTGGGTCAGTGAGAGTGTGTTTGTATGTGTCTGTGCGTGTGTGAGAGAAGGAGAGAGAGAAAGAGAGGAAGAGAGAGAAAGAGAGGAAGAGAGAGAAAGAGAGGGAGAGAGAAAGAGAGAGAGACACATACAGAGAGAGAGACACAGAGAAAGAGAGAAAGAGAGAGAAAGAGAGGGAGGGAGAGAGAAAGAGAGAGAGAAAGAGAGAAAGACAGAGACAGAGAGGGAGAGAGAGAAAGAGATAGGGAGAGAGAGAGAGACACAGAGAGAGAGAGAGAGAGAGAGAGAGAGAGAGAGAGAGAGAGAGATGTTAAACTGGAGAAATGCTTTCTTAACAGGTATCGTATCAGAAATATATCAGTCTAGTATCAGAAACAAAGTAGAATTTCATACTTACTACATCACTTTTATGCCGGCAACCCAAAGGGAATAAAGGCACTAGAGTATTCTGAAATATATACATAAATAGTTCACAAATTTACTTTAAAAAAACAAAACTTTGCAAACAATATATGCAATGCTAATGTCCATTTGTGTGTGTGATAAAATTGCATTATTTTGTTGATTTTAAATTCAACTATGGCAAACAAAGGTAAGGCACAAGAAAATTGTCCTACACATTGATAATGTGATGTTTAGGTTTTTGCTCTTAGCTCAGTATTTAGAAAGTTGTGGTATTTGTTTGTATTCACAAGCTGCTGTTTTCTTTTTACAGAAAATATTCACATTTAACTGCCACTGGAGGAAGATGGTCTCTCTTATCACTAGATAGTGAACATTTAACAGAGATGATAAACAATTTATTCTGATTCTGATTTGTTCACAAGTAGCACTCTGTAATGTGGTGTGGTTAAATTATGTTCAGCTATATACGCATACTACATGTCCTCTGAAAGTACTGGAGAGTTTTGGGAAATGCCATTCTGGTCTCAAGACTCAGTGAAGGGAAAACCCCAACTGCACCTCCACGCGGTACAGGACGGTAAATACACTGCGGTGTGGCCAACGCAGCTATGGGGACCCAGTATCCGCCGGGATAAGTGGACAGCTCTGGGGTGCCCTCTACTGTTAGCAGGAGCATCACAGAGCAGGGCACTCACTTGCTCTAGCAATCGAAAAGGTTGCTGAAGGCTGAGGACGTAGTCTAAAGCCATGTGGATGTGGAAAGCAATGGCAAACTACCACATTACTATCCCAAGAAACTCATCATGGAAGTCAAAAAGATGATGATGACATACTTCATTATCATCCTCTCATGCCACTACGTCACATAAGGCTCAGTCTATTCTTCCATTCTGTTTTATCCTGTGAAATTGTTTCCATATCATGGACAGTATTCACCTCCTTTGTCCATTCATTCACTCAGTGTTTGTTCTAAAGTTCCTCTTGAATTTCCTTGTTTCATTTTCCAATTTTTTCCCCATTTCAGTGCCTGTGAGGTGATTTTCTTCTCAGGATGTGCCCAATATAGTGCCATCCTCTTTGTCTTATAACTATTGATTAACAGTAGTTTTCTGGAAATTTCTAAATTTTTACCTTTATACTACATACTTGCATAAGTTAAACTACATGTGTCTTCTAGAAATCCAAGATGGCTGGCATATCCGTGACCATATCACCAACTGACAGGTCTAAAAAGATGCAGTCTGCACCATATAATCAATCTGACTCACGGCACACACAAAAGGGGGAGGGGGTGCATGAGGTCCTTCATCATTATTATTAACTCTTGGGTGAAGGAGCTCTGCTCCCAAATAATTATTGAGGAAGGGACCTCAAGGGGATTAGGCAATGTGTAGTTGGCAGTAATAATAGCAATTCATCATTATTATTATGTACAAAATAGCAACAAACATTTTTTTAAAAATAATAATGTATAAAATGTTTAAAAAGAACATTTTTATATGGCATGGGGTGGGAGCTCAAGGTGCCTGAGACCCCAGGTTCTGGCACTTATGCTACTAATAAACACAATGTAAGTTCTCAGAACTGAATACTTTGACAAATTATTTTTGAACTGTTACTATAACTATCGTTATATTATATTAATCCTTTCAAACCCAAACAATTGTTATATTAGCTCTGAGTCCTAGGGGGTTTAGCATCACAGGTCCAAGGGCTAGTATACAGAGACATAAAATGCATTCATTGGGCTTCTAGGTAGGAACCTGATGCTTTCCTTGGGACTCAAAGAGTTCATTCAGTGGGGCTCAAACACAATCTATTTGTGACTAGATATTATTCTGTGTACTAATACATCGTATAATGCATATTTCTGCAGTGCAAATGTAGTCAAAAATTCTAAAGAGCTCTGAGGATGCATCCGTTTTCTACCAGGGGTGTTTGTGGGTCCTTATGGAAGTAGTAATAATAGTACTGAGAAATTCTTTGTTTTTTTTTGCTGTCCCACTTGGACATCAATCATAAACCTACAGGGCTGGAGAGAGAAAAAAAAGTATTTTTTCTTTTGCATTCACCCTTCGAAGGGTAGCTGACACATCATGTTGCAGTTTACAACTAAGCTGTGATATCTGCCCCTTTTAATCCAGCACATTAGATTTCAGGAAAACCTCAGTCATTTTTTTTTCCGTCATGTTTAAGGACAGTCACAGAAGACTGGAATGAAAACCAGATGCCATGGTACCAGGAAAGACGGGCAGGAACAACCAGCATAGAGATGGGCTCAGGATACAAGTGATACCCTTATGAAGGAAAGTACACGAGGTAGGAGGGACCAAGTTTTAGGCAGACCGTGATGAGGAGCATGGTGTTCTACAAAAGACCTGCTACATGACAATATGTATGACGAAAGCCACATACCAAGGTTAGTAGGAATCAATGCAATCTCTCTGGCCTTCTTTGTTCTGATAAGTATTTCTGGGCCAAGTTCTTTAGTTAAGCCATAGTTAATAACCTTGTATATACTACTATTTTATGTCGGCCACGGTTCGGAAACATGGCATGATCATGGTAACCATGGCTTTTATTTTTCTATAAAAAAAAAGGTGCCGGTACTCAACAAAAAGTGTCTAAAATGGTACCAGTACTTACCACAAAATATGTGCCTATTACAGTAGTCTTGAAAATAAATTATGTATAAAAAAATAGGAACCAGACTGTTAACCATTGCCCTGGCAGTCCTGACCACTGGTGGTTATACAAAAATGTAAAGGGCTCTGATGTTCTACATCATTAGACATATAATATTGGGCACAAAGGGCTAGACATATATTTTATATTATAAGGGAATCGGTACTCCGTGGGTGATGTGGTCAACATCACGACGGCCGTCTTTACTTCAAATGACTATTCCTAGTAAGTTGCTAAGTAACCATTTTAAGCTGGGCCGACTTAGAGGCCAAGGTCATTTTAAAAAAAAGGGCGGCTCCGTCACTCAAGACCTGAACCCATGACCTCTCAGTCTGTAAAAACTACAAAAATATAAAAACGGTTTGTTCGCACTCTTTATTAATCAACAGTCATTAAATTTTATTACACATGAAATGTTCTACATGATGATGTACCATACCTGATGTGAAGACAACAGTCTCTGGGATATGTTTCTGAGAACTAAAACAGAAGAAGACATTGTGTAAGAGAAAGCCGGCACAAGACACAATTCGCTCTTAACCCCAGCTACAGCAACTAGCAATAGCAACAGCCGTCAGCCCAGGGTTGCCAGATAAAAAAACGTCATTTTATGCCAAACCATCACACAAAATATGCCAGAAAATTGCCAAATAAAGTGTAATATTGTACTCACTTCACATCAAAAGCTCTAGATTGAATTTTTCACTGTCTTCCTCACTGGAACCAGTGGAAGATGCAGCATAAACCTTTTCGGGTGTAAAATCTTTAAGCATTCTCTCAAACGGAATGAAGTCTTTGCAACATTTCTTTGATATCTATAGTTCTGCTCTAATTCTGAAGACTGCATCAAGAAAATCCAGTTGTATTTTGTTTCTTGCTTTTGATTTACTTGAAGTAACAAGAGAGAATATTCTCTCAACTACAGCATTGCTAACGGGCATTTTTAAGCAAGTAAGGGCGAAAGTGACCAACTCTTTAAATGCATGGTGTCGAAGTACGCCTATCCAAAAATCGTCCCTGTTTGTAGGTAGTCCATCATTCTTAAATTTAGCTTCTTCTTTCCAGTTGACAAGAATCAATTTTCTGTACTGTTCTTCTATAATACTGATGTGGTTTTCTGCCAGGTGTAAAAATGGTAGCTCTGCAAACTGCCTCCTTGATATTTGATTTAAAACCGCCAAAAGGGATCAATTTTAACAGATTTTGAAATATATTCTCGGTGGGAAGTCTACACGTAATTTGATTGAGAGCTTCCTCTAGCACAGACATGCATCTTTCATTAACATTGTTTATTTCTATCTGAACTTTAGTCCTGTTATTCTTCTGTAGGAACGCATTATATTCCGTTAGGAATTTAATACCAAAGTCAACGTGATGAATATTTTGTTATGCTCACTGACGTCTCACAGTCTGTTCTTAAGACTTTTCTGGTGCATGGACAATTCTTGGTGTAGTTCATGAGGATCAGCTTTTGTTTGTTGAAATAGACTGTTTAGTCTTTCAAATTCTTGTACAATTGGTGTCGCAAACACAAAGTACAAATAATTATTATGGTATAACAGCATTTCCTTTCACAATCTTACTTTATGTTATGTGTCAAACGTTGTCTGTGCTAATTCAGCACATGTGAAATAAGCTTTCAATTCTTTCCAGTTCACCAACATATTGAACATAATCTTCCCACGCACAAGCCACCTAATAGATGACAGTTTCTCAAATGGAAGAGGAGCAGTTCGTTCTGATTCAAACTCTGTAGATGTGTTCATCACTCTAAACAGTTCTTTATAGGCTTCTCATCTTTAATCACTATGACAAAACTACTGAGGTATTTCTGACAGTAAGGAAAGAATATTTGATGGCGAAGGAGACACAAGAAAGAAAGGATATAATACAAAAGAAATACATGAAAATTATGTTTTAGTATGGAGCGGAGTACCCACTAAAGATAGGGTGTCGGATTTATACTTCATCCCGAGACAGCAAAATTAATAACAGGAACAGAATTTATATCAGAAGGAATTATTTTAATCAAGTTGACAGAAGGAAGTAAAACTACAACGATTATTCAGATATATGCACCTTGTAATGATAGTTACTCTGAAGAAGAAAAAGAAGACTTTTACGAGAGACTTACGGACACCATCAATAATGTTAAAGAGAAAGAGGACACCATAGTAATGAGAGATTTTAATGGTAGGGTAGGTAAAAGAAGATCACCATGGGAGAGATACCTTGGCCCATTTAGCGACACAACCACAGATTGCAATAGAAATGGAGAACACCTGCTAAACTTGTGTGCTGAACAAGATCTCTACATTACCAACACATTCTACCAACATCGCCAAAGTCAGGTTAAAACGTGGTACAAGTGGAACAACTTAGATCAAGCGTCTCAAATTGATTTTATACTAGTCAGACAACGGCAGAAGAGGAAGGTAAGAGACTCAAAAGCTGTCCCAAATGCGGGACTGGATTCAGACCATCGCCCAGTAGTTATGAACATATGCAACTCAAGTAGAAACAGTCTACATAAACAGAAACGTGAAGAAATCATCAACACTAAGAAATTAGAGGAAGAGAATATCAAACATGAATTTGAACTAGAAATAACAAAGGCTTTTGCAGATATTGCCAAGGAACCAGTAAGAATTGAAGAAGAATGGGATTATTATAAATCAACCATCACGAAGATATTAAAAGACAAGTGTGGTACCAGAAAGACGGGCAAAGGCAAGAAAAAGGGTACCGCTTGGTGGAATGAAGAAGTCAAAGAAGCAGTGTCAAATAAAAAGAAGATGTTTCAAATATGGTTAAAAACAAAAGACGAAAAGGATTACATTAGGTACAGACTAACTCGAAGAGACACCAAGAGAACAATAAAGAAATCCAAAGAGGATTCATGGAAAAAGTATGGTGAACACCTAACACAGCTATGTACAGAATCATCAAGAGACTTTTATAAGAGTGTGAAAGCGATGCGATTAAGAGAAGAAAGCTTCAATCCAACATCAGTCATAAATGATAAAAATGGAAAACCATTATTCAGCCAAAAAGAAATTAAAAAAAGATGGGAGGAATATTTTAAAGAACTTTTGAACCCGTCGGGAGTACATGAAACAGCAGAATTCCATTCAAGGGCTCCAGATCATCTAGAACCACATATCCTGCGGGATGAGGTAGAGAAAGTTATCAAAACAAGTAAAAGACACAAAGCAGCTGGTATCGACGGAATAACAACAGAAGTCATCCAGGCTGGAGGGGACACTATGATCACCTGGCTGGAGAGAATTTTCAATAGAGCATGGGCAGAGAGAAAGGTACCAGTGAATTGGCAAAGATCAGTTGTAGTACCTATCTGGAAGAAAAAAGGAAACAAGAGAGAATGTGGAACTTATAGAGGAATATCTTTACTAAGTCATGTGGGGAAAATGTATGCAAAGATCTTAGAAGGTAGGATAAGAGCAAAGGTTGAACCTCTACTGAGTAAAGCACAATTCGGTTTCAGGAAAGGGCGAGGTTGCACTGATGCCATATTTGCACTAAGACAAGTCTGTGAAAAGACACTCGAATACGATAAAGAGCTGAACGTGGTCTTTGTAGATCAAGAGAAGGCATTCGACCGTGTGGACAGAGATGTGCTGTGGAGAATTCTTGACGATTACGGAGTGCAAGGTCAATTATTAGACAACATCAGAGCCCTCTATGAAAAAAGTGAAAGTGCAGTAAGAACATCTAGTGGTCTTTCTGAATGGTTCAAAGTCACAACTGGTGTCAGACAAGGATGTGTACTGTCACCATTACTTTTCATAATATACATGGATAAGATCACTGTAGAAGCAAACCCAGACGTGTATGCTATAAACGAATTACTTTTTGCTGATGATCAAAGCATACTGTATCAAAATGAATATGATCTACAGGAACATCTGACTACTCTCAACAACAGCTGTTTACAACATAATATGAGAATCAGTACAGAAAAAACAGAAGTTATGAAGATCAGCAGAACACACAGGCCACTGAATATAAATGTTGGAAGTGCCAAAATCAAGCAAACTAAAGAGTTCAAATACTTGGGCAGTATATTTACAGAGGATGGAAGAATGGACAGAGAGATAGAAACAAGAATACAGAAAGCAAATGCTGTCACATACCAACTATCACCTCTGCTTAAACATCCAGATATAACCATGAAGACCAAAAGACAATTGATAAACACCATCTTCATTCCAACACTCTGCTACCAGTGCCAGACATGGACAATCAACAAGACCCATGAAAGAAAAATAGAAGCCTGTGAAATGAAATGTCTAAGAAAAGCAGCGAATAAGACCAGACTAGACAGGATAAAGAACATAGACATTAGAAACACTGTCAAAACTACACCATGTTTAGACTACATAGAACATCAAAGAATGAAATGGTTTGGACATCTAACCAGGATGAAAAATGACCAAATAACATCACAAATTTTCAACCAAAGAAGCTCAGGATATAAGGCAAGAGGAAGACCAAGGAAACGGTGGATTGATGGGGTCTCCGAAACCTGCCAAAAGCATGGCCTCAGAACATCAGATGCTGCCCGCCTTGCTTATGACAGGAACTTGCATCTCCCCACAACGCTTAGCGGCATACGTGGAAGGAAAAAGTAAAAGTAAGTAAGTAAGAAGGAGACACATCTTTAATTCTGGACCATACAGAGTTCTTGCACCCGATCATATTTGAAGCGCCACTGACGCAAACCCAATGCAATTTGTAAGACTCTGACTACACCTTTTGATTTCCTTATCAATCAAATTAAATAAGTTTTCTCCTGTAGCCACTTGCAAGGAAATTAAAGCAAGAAATCCAGTAAATATTTAATTTTTCCTGTCACTGAAAAAACTAACTATAATGCACAAGTACTTTTGAGTGGAAACGTCAGTAGACTCATCTATAATTATGGCATATTTCTTGATCCGAATATCCCCAATAAGGTCATCCTTAAGTGCAGGCGATATAATATTTTTTTTTAAACATGAACATTTAGTTCTATGCAACTGTATGTGCTCTAATGTAGTCCCCTGACCAGGCGCTCTCGTGATTTCACTTAAATGATCAATTGTGCGTATTGCTTACAGCAAGTTGCAACTCTGCTGCTTTAACTTTATCATTACTTTGCCTAGGAGTTATTGTTGTAATAAGCTGTGACTGGCTTTTTGACGGAGTTTTCATCCTGTGTTTTTCGGATTTTTCATGATTTGAAATGCTAGTAATTCTTGGTGCAACAGTACACCGACACAGTTTACAGTATGCTGCCTCTGATCCGTCTGAAGATCTTTTGAGCCATGAGTATGTTTTCTCCCAATTACTATTATACTTGCTATTGCTGTCATAAGATGCTTTCCATTTTTTGGATGACGTGGCCATTGGTAAAAGTAATAAAATCTATCTCAGATAGAACTAGGTCTATATCCTATCTATTTTCTGCCCTCAAGTAGTTTCTGAATAGTCTAAATCACTTGATTTCAGTGGTGGGTTTTCGTTTTATATCTCGCATATATTCTAGTAAATTAACATAAATTACAGAGGTTTATAGCAAAACAATAAGAAATGGCGCGAATCTCCGTTAGTCCGTACCAGGACATCACAACAAAGTCAAACTGAAATAAAGATTTTAACTGTAGGTCTACACCGCTTTTAGTAAATTTGCGTGTTTTTAACAGAGGAACCATGAAGAAAATGTGAGCACATCTTGATAAGAAATGCCAGGAAAACCCAAATATGCCAGAATATGCCAGTTCATTATCTTATGCCAGTTCAATTTCAAATATGCCAGATTTGTGGAATCTGGCATAAAAAATGCCAATATGGCAACCCTGCGTCAGCCGTGGCTTCTTAAATTGTGTGAAACGTCACACGCGTTGTGACTTCCGAGTTGTTGTCACGTGATGCACATTCCCTCTCATCGCGTGGGCGTTGTCTAGTAAGAGATAGGTAAATTACCAAAAGCCGTGACATCGGCGACCCGGTCGCCCATTGACTCGCCGGTAGACAACTTCTTTGATCGCATCAACATTACAGGAGTCCTTTTTAGGTTATTGGTGCTATGCCATTTTATACGGCGCACATAACCTAGTCACAATTATAACTTAAAGCTCCACCTTCGGGGATGCTGGTTGATCGTGACAATTACCCCCTTTCCCCAGAATCCTCGGCAAAGCAACACCTAGATATACGGATGTAGCTGGCATAGATACTATTAATTTACATAAATGCTAAGAATTAATTACCCCATAAATGTCACCCATGACCACTGGATAAATAGCAAACTACGTTGTAGTAAGACAACCGTTCTCCTGTGTGTTTTAAGCACGTTGCGCTTGGTCGAGTTCAAATCTTAGCAAAATCTAGCAGATTTTGGTAAATTAAAAAAAAATATAGGAACCTTTTCTGCGTCATATTCAGTATAGAGTGCTAACCTTATATTTTTTTTAAAATTATCTTCTACCATCTTTAATTTCCTACCAAAGAAATCCTTAGGGACTTTACCATCCTCAGTGTGTCCCAGCTAACTGAGCCTTCGAAGACTAAGCATTGAGACAAGTATTTTTAGATTGGTACCAAATGAGTTAATAACTATATCGGAAAATATGGGGAAACGGCATCATGTAACTGGTGGATAGGACTTCCAGATTTATATTAATAACTAATAGCTGGTGCATAAACGTTAAAAAGTTACTGGATTTAAAAAAAAAATGTTTATTAATTCATCATCATCATTACCCTGTTGTGCTATTATATGCCACATCGGGCGTACAGTGTATTCTTCCATTCCCATCTATCCTTCAACATGTTTGTATCGTAGAGTGCGTATGCCGTATAGTAACATCCTTAGTCTGAAGGGGTTGAAATACACATCTTTATGACACAGTGGCTTAAATTATGCCGGTTTATTTTCACCGGCCACTTGATCCCTGTCGCCGCATCCATAGTATCTCATCACATTAATGGACTTATTGTCAGACCTTTCTATTAAAGGGGATCTCAAGGGTTGCCACTGGAGCTACCGAGTACGTTTTCTGTGTGCAGCCGAGCGAGGAGAGAGACCAAGCCATAAGGGATCAAGTCTGCGCAATAAATTCGGATCTCACGAATTTAACTCACGTTCAGTACTAGTTGTCCCAATCGGAGGTATCCAGTTATAACAATCATAACTGCATTTTTTTCAAAAAGACTAATTAACAGCTAATGTTGCCGATGAAAAAAAAAAAGAATAATTTACCCTGTTCTGCTCATTTTTTTTAAACGTAAAAGAAACCGCTATGCCATGAACGGGATTCAGGTGACAAAATGTAGCCAGACTTAGAGGCAGGCAATAAAGGTGACCGTGTACTTCCTGCATTGACAGATTATTTGCTATGGATTTTGCATTTAATAATAAATAAATTTATCACCGGAGCTATGGAGTGCGTGGTCTGTGCTTGATACCATCTTCAGGTAGCAACGGAGAGAGTGGGAGTAGGAGAAGGCATATAAATAAGGAGAGCCGGAGCCAGGAGAGTTAGGCGAAAAACGGAGCATCTGGGAGAGAAGACCTGTACTGGAGAGACTGATTTATGACTTTGATATCATCATGCTGCAGGAATTAAACACAGATATGAGTGTCCTGGATACATTAGTTACATAAATCCTACTGGACAGGGAAGATATGGACAATGTCTGCTGGTAAAGAATGGGTTGGCCCGGCTCTCTAGCGTAGTTGGCTAAACCGGATTGCGCGGAGACCAGGTGACGAACTCCTTGTGGTCCGGGTTCAATCCCGGGGGTAGGCAGAAAGCCCCATTTTCTCCCAGATTTACGGTATTTATAATGGAATCAAGGCCGAAAGGTTGCGATATCCATAATACCGAGCCTTAGGGTTAACAACTCATGGCTTCTGGATACTAAAAAAAACAACAACAAACAAAGAATGGGTTGAAGCATGTGGTTCTTCACCTGGGCCAGTAGAATTATGGTACACTAGAGATTCAGGGTATACAGATAGATAATGGGGGAACAACCAGGAATTTAGTAAATGCTTAGACTGCTGTTGAATCTCTTGTCACAAAGGAACATTGAGACTGGCTCAAAGAGTTGGAGGAAATCTATGGTAATAGGCTTCTCGTCTGTAGGGATTTCAATGCGAAGAACAGAGCATGGACAATAGTGGGAAAAATAGGCAAGGAGTTTTAATTTCAGATCTGCTTCTAGTAACTGATGATCTGTATCGCAATCTGCACTTCTAGATAGGAATTGTCGGTAGCAGAATCCAGTTGCTGTCAATGCCAATGTATGCGCGCTTATCAGTAACAAGTCAGATGAGACAGATGTGGTAATTTTCACACACGGGTCTGTTTTACAAGGACATAAGAGTGCATGGGTATTTACAGCTCGCTCTTCATGCAGAACAGTTCAGGAAGCCAGCGGTGCCTTCTCCATGACCACCAACAGCATGACGATGGAGGTGATGGCGATGTCTGGGATCACAGGACTATTCCCGCGTGTGTGTGCTGAGTGATTCTTTGAGCATGATCCGGCGGGTCGAAGCAGGCAAGTTACACAGACAGTGGCTTGAGTCGTTGCAAAATTCTCCTGTGTGTGCAGTTACTTTCATATTCGTCCCAGGGCATGCAGGCGTTGTTGGCAATGAGAGAGCTGATAGACTGGCAGGTGCTGCATTGAATGAAGATGGCCGGCCCATGGATTACGCAGACATTTTTATCACAACAGGCATTATATACACTGATAATGATATACCAATGACAACAGACAAGAAGAAAATGAAAGCATTTTTGAAGAAATGTATAGCCCAAACTGATCATAATGATAGGGAGCTTAGAAATTCTGCTGCCAAAAGATTTGGGTAGTTACTGGCCACGGAAAGATACTTGGTCAAATGCAGCTACTTTTGCTTTTGAGTTTATGAGGGGTTCCAGAACAGACAGGAGACGGTTGTGACAGCACTTGATCTCGAGGATGCTTACAATAGAGTCAAATATGATATTTTGATAGCTGCACTCATGGAGAAGGGAGTTCGTCTGTGGTTTTTGAACTGGATAGCAGCTGTCATGCATTCACGTTTGGTTGCCCTTCGCCTGGGTACATAGACCTCAGAACCATGTAATCTCGCCCCGGGACTACCCCATGGTTCTGCAATTTCCCCAAAGCTCTTTAAAGTGTATACAAGTAAAACTGCAGAACTTGAATCACCAGGTGTTGGAGGAATATGGACATTTACCGATGATGTTTTTGCATATAGGCAGGGGAGAGATGGGCGACGGATAGCCTACAAGCTACAGGCAACTGTTGATAAAGTGACTTACTGGTGAGCAGAAATAGGTGCTGTCATCAACTTAGAAAAGGCAGCTGTTTTGTGGTGCTCTCTGGGCAATAGAATTATAAAAGCTAACGTTTCAATCCTCACAGTTAATAACAGTAACATCAAAAGAGAAAGCAAACTGAGATACCTGGGTATCATTTTCGATAGAAGCCCGTTCTTCAGGGATCATGGGGAGGCAGTTGCGGTGAAATGCCAAAAAGGACTCAATGTTCTCAAGATTATGGCAGCAATGGACAAGGAACAAAGAATGTTGTTCACAATGCTCCAGCATGTGATCCTGTCAGTGATAGATTATGGACTTGGCATGCTTGCCAGATCAGAGAGTCAGATGATAAAACTTGAACGCATACAAAATGAAGCCATGCGGGTAATTCTGGGATGTACAAGAGATACCCCGGTAGTATGTATGCGATATATACTTACACTGCCTACTATTGCAGATAGGCTAAAAGTTCTGCAGTTAAAATCAAATTTCAGAGTAGCTGCGGACAAGAGGCGCCTCCTGCACGAAGCCCCCGAGTAGGGCTAAGGGTCACAGACTGAAAAGAGGAAAGTCTTGGATGGCGCAAGCTGAAGACACACTTGGACATGTGTGCAGGCTTGATACATTTAGGCGAGGAAAGGAGTGGGTCAAAGTGTCCTATCATGTTTCAGACTCATGTAGGGATCTAATCACTCTGGGACGTAAGTGCAGAGACTGGCAAGCTGGTGCTGCAGAATCAGAAGTTCAACAAATGATTCATGACAATTCCCACCCATGTGATGTGATTGTCTATACAGATGATTCTGTGTTGAGGGGTAGACGAAGTGCATGGGGGAGGGGGGGGGGCATAGCGAATTCGAATGGACGTCTCTTGATGCAACAAAGCCTGGCATATGATATCACAATGTCTAGTTTGAGAATGGAAATGGAAGCAGTCACTGCTGTCCTTCGCTGGCTTGAGAATCAGCTGTCATTGTAACTGACTCACAGAGCATGTTGAGAAAGGTGGAGACAGGCATGCTCCGTGCAGAATGGCAAGCATCACTTCAAAGGTCCTGGGTAGTT